TATACTTTTAGTATATTTTTAGTACAAGTATAGTGTAAGATAAACCTGGTTACGTATATCTCAGATAGGTGCATGAAAAGTAAACTGGAAGTCTACTCTTCTATTTTTAGTTTAAAATTTGTATATACGTTTTGCTAAAGGATGTGTGAAAGTTTATTTCTAATCATTTGATGGCTCTAAATTATTATCACGTTGCTTAAAGTGACTCGGTAAAACTCAACGGATCTGAAGGGAACATTTCTATTTCTCTCTTTCCTTCCCAGCTCACGGTGTGATGGCGTTCTCAGTGGATCCTGGCTTTGTCAACACTGAAATCACAAGGCACATTAGACGGCCTCTAGTGGACGTAACGAAGATGTTCAGCTTCCTGCTGAAGAGCCCAGCAGAGGGCGCAGGCACCATCATCTACTGCGCCATTACTCCTGAGAACCAGATGCTCACAGGTGGATTCTACAGGTCAGTTTCAAACTACACAATAATATTAATTTTGCTGATTAAAACTGGATTTTACAACAGAAATACAAATCAACCAGTGAGATAATAACTAGCTGGGCATAACCTCCCTCCCATCTTTCTCCCACTTCCTTGCAGGAACTGTGCTGCAGCAGGAAGCTGCAGGGCAGGTGAGGATGATGGCACGGCCTTAAAGCTGTGGGCTGTGAGCTGCCACCTGCTGGGCATCCGCTGGAGATAAGCAGCTGCTCTCCTACAAGCTGTGCAGCACCATTCATATCTGCAATGCTTCGTTTATATTACGCTCACAGCTTCCAAGTTTCATTAGGTTTTAGGGTTTTTGTGTAAGTGGACAAAAAACAAAAAAAATTAATATGATAAAAAAACAAGATCCCTGCTGTTTAAGTAAAACCAGAATGATCCCTGCATCCAATAAAAACATAATCAAAAGCGCCTGAGTGTTTAAGTGTGGTTAATTTTGTTGTGCATAAGTTTTATTTGACCTCTCTTTGTTCTCAGCTTTCAATCTTCAGTTGCCCCCCAACCCCCACCCCCTTTTTTGAGTATTTTCCAATATGTTTTAGTTATTTTAAACATGGTTTTGAATCACGTTCTGGTTATTTTCTTGGCTGTTTGTTATCCCAAATGTTTTGCAGATGTTGTCATTTTCTGGTGCATTTCTGCTTTTACTTTGTATCTCTTTGCTTCAGCTTCTTAAGTGATGGCATCTTGTTTGTGTGTGTGTTTTTATATTTCGGCTTCCTTCTTTAGGATTCACCACTCTTATGAAGAATTAGCAGTTGCTTTTATGTCGGATGCCCTTCCTGACACAACCACAGAGCATCGAACGACCACAGCCCACATGTGTGGAGCAGCTGCCATCTGGGGGGCTTGTGGGAGCAGATGGGATGTGGGGGGTTAAAGATCTTGCTCAATGGTCCAGAGTGAGGTGGAGGAAGATGTGGGTGCTTCACCTCTCCCATTCAAATTTTGATGTAACAGTCAGGAGATGAGAACTGGCAACTATCCAACAGCACCTCTAACCTCTGCGCCACCACTCCCCGTGAAAATCTGTGTTTAATGCAGGGGTGGAGCCAGAGGGGTGGCCAAGGGGGCAAGTGCCACCTCTGGCATCTGATTGGCCACCCCAGGTGCCACCCCCAAACAACTGACAAGTTGATAGGGATCTTGGATTTTGTATTTGCGTTTAGATTTTGTTAAAGATTGTTCTCTGATAGCACTACATTTTGAGTTGTGTATGTTTAAAAAGGCTAAACTATAGCCTTAAAATTAGCATTAGCAGTTAGCTTAATTTATGATTAGCATCAGCAATCGGTATGTGATCATTCTTAGCTACTCCACAACAAATTTAATCTCAATAAGTCTTGATATGGCTGAATTTTAGCCTTTCAACATTAGCTGTAGTGGCCATTTTGAATTTTTGATTAGCATTTAGAATTTGGTAGATTGTTTTCTGCTACTCCTACACTAATCTTCAACTTCGTACATTTTAAAATGGCAGAATATGAAAGTGTGATTGACATTCAGCATGTTTCTTGATCATCCTTAATTTTGTTCACACAAGTTTCAGCTCAAAATTTCTTAAAACAGCTGAATTAAAACCATTTGGAATTAGCTGTGGAGGCCATCTTGAATTTTCAAGTCCAGAATGTTTCTCAGTATTTTTCACATGGGACCGTACCCCCCCCCCCACAC